CGATAAATATTTTGACTATAACATCGTCATTTCTCAATGAAATTCGAAACATGTTTTTACTAAAATGATCAGCAGAAAAAGCTCTACAAATTCTGATAGGAAAGAAAATTTTCTGAATACTTTGTGAGTTTTTGGTTAACTACCTATGTAACTGCCCCGCTAGGTCGATTACGAAAATTCATGTATTCAAATGTGGTCGATGTATTTCACTAGTAGTTATAGCTAGAGACCTGAAACTTTCAGAAACAGAAGATCTTCATTAGATATATATGTGATAAAAATTTCAGCCCTCTATGTCAAGAAAAAGTATGAAAAATATGAATAACAATTTATCGTCAGTTATTATGAAACACCCTTTATGTAACCTATTGCAAAAAAAAAGGAATAAGATGAATCTTTAAGAAATATGTTTTCTTGAGTGTCCTATGGAATTCTACGATTTTTCCAAGTTTCAAAAAGAAGCAGAATAATCGATATTAAGATATATATATTTTAGGTTCATGTCTACTTGCTAATAATGAATCATAATGTTTTATTAAACCTTGTACTTTAATAACTTGTTTTGAATGAAGTGTATCATATAATAACATAACAAGAAATTCAGCAATACAATAAATAAAATGCTATTTAAAAATAAACGAAACGATTAGAAATGCAACGAATTTCATCACCTTCTAATTAGCTATAATTAACACGAATTAAAAGTAATTGAACAAGTACATCGAGTACAGCAGCTTGAAAATCACTTTCATTTGTATTAATATATTTTTTAAGACTAGTTTTTCAGTTTAATAGAAATTAAAATAGAAATAAAAAAAAAACAGAATAGATCAAATTCGTTTTTTTTGTTTATCTTACTCTCGTATTGCATTATTTTCTATGAATTGATCACTATTTATACTTGATGCATAACGTGAACCAAATAAAATAAATTATCGATTGTCGAATACTTATTGTATGAATATAAGTTAAAGAATTATTTAATGATACTTGTGAAGAAACATTTGAAGATTTAATAAAAACTAAATTAAAAGAATATTTTTAAATGAATGTTGTGTTAACAGAAAACATGATTTTCAAATGTCGAATTGATAGTGTGTCTTGCAGATCGCTCACGTAAACTAGACGATTGAATATTCGAATTTCAAGATAGAACCAAATGAAATGACCTGACACTTTCACAACAAAACTACTCTCGTTAAGATCATCGATATTTGTAAAATCAGTTTTTCTATTAGTATGACATTCTTATATTGAAATTTTCCTTCTCTAGGAAAGACCCTTTCAGAAACCTTAATTATAATATTTCCATCTAAAGTGTTATCCGTAGACAAGTTTCAGACACAATACAATATCCTAAAGGTTTTAGCTTAACCAATAAATATTTACTATTTAAAAGAAGTTACCATTTGTGTACATTGAATGTTGATTTAAAATAATTAAGTGTTTCTCTTCCAAATTTTTTTTATAAATCTTGTGTAGAAATAAAACTTAAAACTGATTTGATAGACAATAATGATCATTTCTGATGAATTTAATAAACTTTTATGTATTTGATATTATGAACATATTAATTCGAATAATTTCCAAAACTACCTAATTGTGTATGGTTAACTTTTTTAACTTTGTCTGTGTTTGATGTTGTTGATGAATATTTATCATTCTATATAAAAAGAAAAACAAATGAATTCGTTCAGACGAAACATAATCAAATATATTCTTCATATCTAACACTTTGGAACTACTTCTGTGAAAACTGAAATATTAACTATAGAAAATTATCTTCTGCTCAAAAAAATGATGATTGTGAATATTTTTGCAATAGTTCGAGAACGATACTAAAATAGTTCAATTTTCGAATTACTTGAATCATTTGTGCTACTTTCAAAACATTTTTTCATTTGTTGAGATTTGATAAATCTTCAAATAAAAAGAAAGAATTCAAAAAAAAACATAATAAATATCTTTTTTTTCTCTTTACTTGAAAAGATTAAATTATTAAGATCATGTAATATAAAGGGATGTTTAAAAAAATTTATAAATAAACGAAGTTCATCATATTGATTATGAAAAAATTGGTCGAATTGTTGTTGTTCATAAAACGTTTGAAAGAACATAAATATCTTCTAAACATCCAACCTATATAAAAGACAAAAATGGCAAACAATTTGTATTCGAGTTGATGCTTGTGCTTGTAATGAATGATGAATTTTATATATCCATTGACATGGTAAAAATAAATTGGGATCAACAAAACCTTAAAATCAAAAAGTAGCTAATGACTAACTTAATGCAATAAAATCGACTTATTCATCCAAATTCGAAAAAAGCTACGTAGTTATTATCTCTACAAAATACGTACTTAGCAAAAGTCGAAGCAGTTGCTTGATGAACACGTATATCAGGATATATTGTTTTAATTGTTTTTATTATTGTTCAAGATAAGTTAATATTCGAAAATCAATATCATCTATAAATTGAGCTAGACTAACCTATTTTATATACATACAAAAAAAAAATTATTATAATCATATTTTTGTTTTATCTACTTTAGCAAGAACATAGGAACTTGTAGTATGTTGAATAGAATCTTCTAATAATTCAATTTCTATGATTGTAAATGTATGAGTATTAATTAATAAAAAAGGTAATAATGCTCGTAAAGCATTTAATGAAACATGTATAACACGTGTATTATTATCATTAAGACATAACCTTGAACTGTCTTTTGAATCAGTTGATACAAGTGAACATTGATTAATAAAAGAATTTGATAATAATGATAGTGTTAAAAGACGAATTGTTGTTTTAATTAATGTAACAAGTAAATGTGCACATGCACCACATAAATATAGATCACCGTGTTCACATAAAGATGAAAGATATGTAATATCTTAAAGAAAAGAAAAAGAAAGATACCTTGATGTTCGACAAATTTTAAAGTATTTCAAGTCATATAGAGATGAGAATTTCATTTTTCTCATTAGGAAATTTCATATCAGTTACAAAATTTTTATTTAATCAGAAATCTTCAAAGACTAATGAAAAACTCCTTAGAGGATACAATTGATTTCATATCTCGAACTTCGGCTTAGAACTTTTTTGAGGTAGTTATATGATTGTATAATTTCAATCTCTGATGTATAAATGCAGGCTTTGAACTTCAATAAAGTGTTCTACTTGATATCTTTTCGAGTCTGACAATGGTCTAGTCTTTTGTTGGTTTCAAAAAAATTAAAAGTAGGAATAGGACTAGAGCTGCTGAATCAATATCGAGAAATCTCCATTCTTGAATTTTCAGATTCCAATATATATATATGTTTCAACAATTTAATACTGAAATTGTCATATCTATCAGATAACTTTCACTAAAACTTTGAGACCTTAACCAATTGAAGCCACGTCAACTAAACTCTGCCACAATCCCCTTCACCTAAGCCCTCCTACTGTTACGACATTAGAAATAATTTTGGATTATAAAATAGATCTATTTTACTGAACTGAAACTTTACAAAAAGAAGGCTCAGACAAGCATTAAACATACTTTCAGTAAGGTAATCAAATCGACCAAATTGTTGATAAATACGATAGACATATTGGTATAGCACATTTAAGACTAATACATGATTCATCATTACTTTTTATCGTACCATCCATATTGAATATATATCTAATCGGAAAAAAATATAATTGATGAACAAGTTTAGCAGCTGATGTTCGTTTTTCATTATTAATCATTGATGTTGAATCGAATTCATCCTTCATTTCAATAAATCAACGTTGATATGTTGAATAAGCTATTGTTGTAGAAAAAAAAAACAAATGAAAAAAAAATTCTTGTTTTTTTTCTCGATATTTACCTGTTTTTAAGGCTTCACTAACACGAATTTCTTCTATAGGTCCAATTTGAGTTGAAATTAATAATTGATCAAAATCAAATAAATTTGAATAACGAAGTAATTGAATAATTCTTTTTATTAAATGTGTACTAGCATTTTGATTTTAATGTTCAAGTAATTGATCTATTAAAATAAAAGACAATTATAATGGATTGAAATTATTATTTGAAAGAAAACTTACTAATTGCATTTGTCATTAGAAAACGTACTATAACCATAGGATAACATATTTGCTGAATAGCCCATGAGAAGTTTCTAAGAATAGTTTAGTAGTTTACTAAATATTTCAAAAGAAAACTATTTATTGTTGATATTAGGAAAAAAACAGAAGAATGCGTTTTCACTCGATTTCAT